TCTAATAATCCGTAAGGATTACCATATCAAAATCATTGTAACAATACTTGCAAAAAAAGATTGATAGTTCACTTGAAAGCCTCCATGTCCATACCAATATATTATTTAGAAAAAGAAAAATTCTTAAAGGTCTCTTAAGCACATATTTTAAGACTCAATTACGATAGTATCTTCAGTTCTTGAATTTCCCAAGGAATGACTCTACTAATCATGTTCACTGGTAAATGAAGGATAGTCATCTCCAGGAGAGGATCACCTTTATACGGACTGGCCAAAATTCTTTGCTGTGAAAGATGCACATGAATATAGTGCCTTGCTATCTATCCGTATGATGTCCATTTCTGGTCTTTTTGATCTTCATGATGAAATATTGCGAAGACAAGGCAAATATTTTCTGAATAATTTATTTCTTGAAAGATTGAAGAAACATTAATACAGAAACAGTTCTCAACAAAAAAAATTAAAGTGACACAAGTTTAAATTAGTCGTGTGAAGCAGGAAAAAAACAAAGAGAAGATTTGAGAGTCGTCTCGATAAAGCTGTTCATGGGGCCTGCAGGTTCTGCTTGTACTAAATAGCAACAGGTTAGGAAGGTCTCTTTTAAACATAGAGAGAATCTCTGATGAGAGGGCATTCTTCACTTTCTATAAGTATGAGAGTTAATTTCAGGGAGTATCTTGTAGGTAAACATTCCTCAGCACCGGCTCAATCACTACGGCCAGCCTCAAGCCATCAAAAGCCTTTTGGCCAGCTTCAGACTAGTTCAAACCCCGATCCTTCATCAACGGATCTGACAAAGCCTTGCATCTTTCCTCCCGCCAAATCTTCATTTTCTCAATTTCGAACTTGCCGATCCGCAAGAAAGACATGCCATGTCTCTTTACGTGCAAACAAGGATAATCTTCTAATCGTGGTATGCTTTCCGAGCTCAAAGTGAAACATTTGTGAGTTTCTTCTGCGAAGTGGTTGCACTGCGGGTGCGTTTTTAGTTAACTTAACTGTGATTGTAATACTATCGGCATCGTTATGTTATTTTACAAGAGTCTCTCCGTTATAGAAAGATTGCCACTTGAGAGAGATCTTTCTGGTTCGCGCAATTAGGCTTCCCGACCTTCACTTCGTCGGTGTAGTTCCCACTCTTAAGACATTGGCAGTGAGAACGATGGCTAATTTTATCGGTCATCCAAGAAGAACGGAAAGGAAGAACTCTTCTGTGTTGGGGACTTTTAGAGTCCTGTGAACAGAAAGATAAGAACTAGGAAATGGACATTGGAGAATAGACGAGATATATGAGGATCATCACAAGTTCAGGTAGTTTGGCCAAAAGCCTCTTCTACAGTCAAAGCTGTGGAAGGTGTATCATCCTACTGAAGAATGAAGATACATTACGAAGGCCTTGAACCCAAAAATCTCTTGTCAGATCAATGTAAGAGCCTATTTACAAAAATCTCGCCATTATTAACATCTGTCTTGTTAACCCCAAGTTTCAAGTTAGGGACTTGACATCTTGATGCAGTATTGAGTCATTCTCAGCCGGGTCAGCAGCTGAAAGGAAAGGGCGGAACTTGTCAAAAGGAACAGCTACAACAGAACCAATCTCCAACAGAATAGCTCAACGAAGATGACGGCAGAAAATCAACTACAATAACTGAAGAACAGCTACTGAGCGCTCAACGTCCGCAACGGAACCATAAACGCTCCGAAAGGAGCGATTTTTTTTACTATTGGTTGCATTTATGGTTACTGCTTTAAACTATAAAATATGCACGAGACTCAAAGACGGGAGAGAATGTTTGTCTCAAGAAAGTTTATGATGAGTGATTCATCATTGATCTTTTGATCCTATCGCCCCGGCTTGGGTTGGTCGAGAGGACCCCATTACTCCCGGTCTGAAGCTTTTCTCTTCTCCCATTCATTTTTCTCTCGATACCCATCGACCTATGTTTGCAACTTTGCTCTTCTTCAACGCGAGACAAGTCAACACTTCTAGCAATCCAACTGATGTCTGGCTCTGCTAAGGAACCTGCGGTTTACTCTGCGCCATCTCTGACGGAACGACGGCCTTTCCACAACGATAGTGAACTTCCTTCCTTTCTCGATTTAAATTTGTGCATTTAATATGTTCTCTTGCTCTTAGTCGCTTCTGAGACCATAGGATAGCCAGTTATTGATATTCGGCAGATCTTAAGCCGTGATAAGAATATTTCCTGACCTGATAAATCTGGGTGTCCTGTCAGCGGTTTTCTTAAACTGCAGATCCTTTCGTTTATTCAATTGCGGGTGTTTTTCTAGATAATTTCGAAGTCCACTCATATTCACTTTAATTTCTTGAGTGTATCTACTTGATTTTATAGTCTTCTCATCCTTTTCAAAACCATCCGCATCACATCTGAAGGTGTCTCTTTGGACCGCACCTTCGGAGGAAGGGAGGAGGGAATTGTAAATAGGTTCTGGGTTACTCGCACAAGAAAATTCCGTAATAATAAATAATAAACAATGGCAAAGCCAATCTGTGTTGATAACCCGACCTCGCCATCTGAAGTCAACTTACCTTCTTCCTCTCCTTCACATTCTTTCTAATACCCGCCAACATGGCCGGAGGATAATTTGTTCGCTTTCCCAGTTACAATAGAACGACGGAAGAGCTGTTTCCGGCTTTACAAGGGTTGCTGGGGTTGCCAGTGATCTTGAGCCAACAATGTGCTTACCGCCTTCCTTACAATAGATGAGCCTACACTGTTGAAGGATCTTCTTTCCACGAACGTGGAGAGCTAGGAAGGACGCCAGAATGCAAATAACTTGCTCTGTAAAGAAAATGGGAACCAAAAGGGACGTTGGAAGAGCTCTGGGCCCTGTGGTTTAATGTCTGGTAGGTAAATTCAACCATCCAGTATCCATTTATCTACGAAAGATTCTATTCTGGGGAGAACATGTTCACACCTTGAAAAGCGTCAACTATTATCTATATTATGGGAAGTTAATTATTTTTGCAGTTCAATTTGGTAAGGAGCTCCTAGGTTAAGAGTTAGGAGCTCAAGAAGAGAGGATAAAAGTGTCTCTCTATAAGTTTCCCACATTTTTTGTTCTTTATTGTTTAGACGACAATAAATCGATCATCATAAAAGTTTAATATGACTTTACAACCGTTGTACCACCAAATCTCTTCGTGAGATTTTCTACTCAGTTTCTCAGGGGATGAAGTGCTTGTTGAAGATCTCGCGGTTTCTTTTTTCCATCGTTTTTGTCGCAGGCTTTAGTAGAGAGAGAGAGAGCACGAGAAGAAAGAGAGGGCGGAAGAGAGATAGCGGGCGCGAAAGTGCAGAGGAGAGGGAACGGCGACCCCGAGAGAGAGAGAAGAGGAAAGAGAGAGGGGGAGGAGAGAAAGGGAGAAAGAGAGAGGGTCGCTTGAATTTTGAGGCAATCCCCCCTCACCCCCTCCCGTTTTTTCTTTATTCCTCTTCCAAATGGGTCACAAGATGGACCAAGTATGAAATAAATGGGTCAAGGGGCGTCTTCAAATCAATTTTCAATCTCATTTTTGGCCAAATAACACAACAGAAAATAAATCTAACTCAGGCTCAAAAGACAAATCTGTTTTACATATCGTCTATGCCCAATAATAACTTCATTTCTGCTTTAATCCTGAAATAAACTCAAGTAAAAATGAAGAGTATTCCAAACTATTGAACACCATGTTTAATCATCCTCTTATTTAACATTAGAACTACATAGAAACACATGCATTTTCAGATTTGTAGAAATATCTAAATAAATTATTCTTATTAAATCCTGCACTTACACTTACAATTAAAAATTTAGATATTTTTATAAATGTGAAATAAGAGGATGTACATTCTGTAAAAACATTCTGCATTGACATTTAAAAATATCTAAATCCAAAAATGTTCGCACTTATACCCAGTGGCTGAACATTCAGAGGGAAAACAAGATAGTTGTTGATGACACCGACGAAACTAGATATTTACGAGCATGTGTATCCTTTCATATATGAGAATAGAGCGTCAGGGACGTTCTAGTTGATCTTCATTCTTCACTAGTATGAAATCCTGCGCTGCTCTGACCATAGAGGAGGCATTTGGCCAAACTGCCTGAACCTGTGTGATCTCCTTATATCTCGCTTCCTCTCGAGTAGCAATTTCCCAACTCTCGACTCTCCGTTTTGACTTGGACTCTGAAGATCCCTAACACAGCGCAGTTCTTTCTCAGCGTTCTTCTTGGGTGGTTGACCGATAAGTTAGTCATCTTTCGCACATCCATCGTTCTTCACGAACTGAAGGTCGGGAAGCCTAATTTGCACGAAGCAACGAGATGTCTTGCAAGTGGCAATCTTTCGTAAAATAACGAAGAGTCTCTTGTAAAATGAAATAACGATGCCGATATTATTACAATCATAATCAATTAAACTAAAAATGCGCCCGCAGTGCAACCGTCTCGTGCAAGATTCTTCATCTCCAATTCAGAAGACTTTTCCATATTATTTTTCCCAAATAAATACGTCCTCTGCCCGCTGTAAAACAGCCTCGTATACGCGAGAGACAATTCGGACCTCATCATTTGGCATGTTCTGGAAGGAGGGAGGGAAGGAGGGAGAGAGAGATATATAAAGTAAGCGAAGGGTGCTCTAACGAAAAAGTAAGAGAGATATTAGATGAAGATGGAAGTCGAGATGGGCCCCGTTACCCTCATCAAAAGTTTATTATTCTCTCTTACTTGACATGAATCTAATCTTTAGCGAAATAAACATGGAAGGGTTCAAATGAATGAACAGAGGCAAGCCACTTCAATGCTTGACCAAGGAAGCCAGTGCCATGGTACTGTCAGCGGAAGACAACTTGACATTGGTCCATGTCGGCGGTGTCAGCCAACCAAATAAATGGAGCCTCCGATTAACATGATCGAGATCCGCGCCGCCCTCACTTCCCACATACTCCCTGTAGGAGGCTGTCGTTGGGGTGTGGTCACAGTTAAGCGTAAGAAAGATGACTTCTTTTCCTTCTGCTGCTCCTACTATCGCCTTCTGGGGTGCTGTCCCGAGAAGACTGATCCTCACTCTCATCATCATAGCATCGTCTTCCATGGGATGCGAAGGCAGGGGTTGTCATGACAACGAGCTCAGGGCCTTGCTCGAGATCAGGAAGGCTTTCAACTTCCCCAATGTCTCGGCCTTGCCAGACTGGGGCCACTCAACAACAAATGGGGGAACAGACTGCTGCGGATGGCCTGGCATAACCTGCGACTCCAACACCGACCGCATAGTCGAGATGGTTTTATTTGCCAAGAGGCTGAGTGCTGCGGAGGAGACATGGCACCCAGACCTTACCATGTTGGCAGAGTTTGGAAAGCTAGAGAGGTTGAATTTGGGGTTCAATCACATGGGCGGTGTCATTCAAGAGGGTAAGTAACATCTTTCAATTGTGAAAAGCAACTGGTTCATTTGATTTCTTTTTTACTGAAGACAGGTGCCGAGATTCGCTTTCATCAATGTGAGTATTCAGTTCACAATATATTTGCTCTCAATAGATTTAAGAACTGTAAATTTCTCTCTTTCATTTCTTTCATGTCTTGCAGTTGTTTGTGTCTTGAACCTCCTAAAGGCTTTGGATCTGTCATTGAACAAGTTGGAGGTTCCATTCCATCATGTTTGTGCACCTTGGGATTCCTAATAGAAATATATCTCATAACGGATTGGGAGGCAACATTGATAAGCTCAAATTAGGCTTCCATAGCCGTTGTTATGCTCTGAGTTTATAAAAAATATTTATAATTATTTTTCATCTACTGATCTACTCTATTATATGAATAGGGCAAGTAGGAGGTCAATCTTTAGGGAATTGAGATTTTTATTTGTAATATGGTTTAAGCTGAAGAGGTAGGTAAGAGATTAGAGAGATTAGACGGGGAGGAAAGAGTAATGGAAGAATGTGAATCTTGATTTTCGTGATTGTGAATGATTCTAAAAAAATCGAGATTTCGATTTTAGAATTGAGAGACGTTTTAGACACTCATACTAAAGGCTTAGGGGAATGATTTGAAAGAAGAGAAGATGATGAAAGGCAAGAGACTCAAGAAGATCTTGATCTTCCTACGAAGATCAAGATATCCATGATCTCAAGAGGGACGGTTGAACTAGGGTTTGATTTTCTGAGGAATAGAAAAGAAGATGGAGAGAACTAATCTTATTGAATATCAGAGGATGAATCACGAATTTCATGACCTGAAGTGCATACCTTGGGTCTATATATTTCGCTCAGACCAAGCAGTTTTCTCTAGCAAAAACACACTTGAAAGATCAAGAACAAACTTCGTAATAGTTCACCTTTGTTCAGGTTTATCAACCTGGATCTTGGGAAAGCCTTTTTCTGCGGCCAACCTCTACTAGAGTAATCTCCAGCATGCTGCCAAAAGAAAGGAGAAAAGGTTTTATACATAGGGATGCATTTCGCAAAAGAACCCTCCCCCTTTCCTATTATCTTTCCATGCCTTTTCTCCTACCTTCCTTTGCTTAGGCGTCCGTTAGATCTCAAATTCGTGGCCCATCTTAGAGAAAGATGGTTAAAGAGATATTGGGCTATAACAGGTCGTGTTTAGCTGTGGTCTTTTAGGTATTTCTTGGCCCACAACACTTTCCTTAGTGAGAGAGTTGACACCAGATCCCATAAGAACTATGGGAGCAGTCCCCGGATGGGTGACCTCCTTGGGAAGTCCCCGGGTACGTGTGCATGCGTGTGAAGTACCGGGATGGGTGACCTCTGAGAAGTTTGGCCCAAGATAGTTATCCGAAAAAAATAATAATAATAATAAAATATTCATGAATAATAACACTGTTTGACTTCTAAGAAATCACACAGGTTACCCATAAGAAAATAAATCAAGAGTGTTCACATGTGCATAAAAATAGAGTATGATGCTTTAAGATTAATATTCACAAGATGGCATAAATTCCTTGTATATTTATATCATTAATAATTCCATTGTAATCATGAAATTCATATATATATATATATCAACGAATTTTTCATGAGAACTTATAAATAGGAAGTCATTACTCATATTCATAGTTTTAATATTACAAACATGATCTTGGCGAATTTCTGAGCTCAAAAGCATGTGAAATCATAGGTATTATCACTATATTTATCATGTTATCATACATTCCTTCCTATTTTGACAGATTTCATTTCCTAACATGCCTTGATTTGTCAAACCGTTCTAAGGGAACTACTCATCCTACTTGTGTAACATGCGGTCCTTGACATATCTCCATCTATCTAGTGATAGATTGTGAACCAGTATTCCGTCATGCATGGGCTACTTGAATAAGCTCAATACTATCAATCTTGATGGTAGTGGGTTCAAGGGAATCTCTGCTATAGATCAGTCATCGTTAAGTAATCTTAGCAAATTTACATTTTGAAATGTGAAAATATCCTTTAGAGAATTTTAATAATTTATTTATTTAAATATTACTTAATATAAAATGCAGTTTAGCTTTAAAATTAGTGGGATTTCTCCAGGTCGAACATAGAATAATCTTAATTCTCTGGCAAAAATTCAGATTATTTTCGTGACTATACTAATTTCTATGAATGTTTCTTTGAAATAACTAATTTTAAATCCTTTTTCATTGATCATTCTTGCAGGATCGATTTTGAATGATTTTGAGCTTTATTTTTTTTGAAACAAATTTTAAGTATGTCGATAAAAGAAGATTCAAATAATTTAAATAGGCCCAAAAGATGCACAATAAATTTCACAAAAAATCAAAAGAAATGCCTCGGTTGTCTATCACATGATGGGGCTAAAATCGAACGAATGTGCACAGTATATGCCCCATTTCCTCATTTGTGCTCCCCCGAACGAAGATATGATGCTATGGGATCAACTAGGGACGGCAACAGCATTGGCTGGTGGCTCTCTAGTACACTCTAAAGCAAGATTCGAAGACTGAACTGAATATGCCTTTTGTAGTTTCCAATCCTCAACAAGATATGTTTTTATTTTTAAAGAAAAATTGAGAATTTTTGGAGCACATTTGATGAGATTTTTGCAAGGTCAAACTTTGGAGTTTACCCATGGATAAAACTGTAAAAAAGAAAAAAATAAAAGGTAAAAAAATATTGGAGTTTCCAATCCTCATTTTTGTGTCTTCTCAAATTTTTTTAAAAAATAAAAAATGTTCATCTAAACATATTTACTCCAAAGTTCAAAATAAAAAATAGATAAATAAATGTAAGAATAATTAAGTATAAAATAACTAATTCCTAATATTTTCATGCATTCAGTGTAAAATTCAAATTTCCTGAATTAATGCTGATAAATGTGATTTAATATAAACTTATCATCATTTAGTATCTAAAATATGCTCATTAGAATGCATAAATCACATGTTTTTAGTCTCTCATTCGCCATCTTTAGTAATCTGACCAGGTTGTCCTTTCTTGAAATAGATGGTGATGGGTTGGATGGAACCTTTAGGCTTGCGGTGTTCACCAATCTTTCCAAACTTGAATACGTCTACATGTCTTCTAAGGGTGGTTTAGAGATCGACATGGAGTACCCCATCTCTTGGGTCCCAACTTTCTAACTCTAATTTTCGCATATTGATGATTGTTTGGTTAATAGGCATAGTGGTAATGGACTTCCCACCTTCCTATCTACCCGGGATGGACTACAAACTGTTTATTTCACAGTACCTCAATGACAGGGCCACCACATGTTGGCCTCTTTTGCAACTCGACTTTATCTGAATTGGTTCTAACACAAATCCAATTTTCTGGTCCATTTCTTCTCCCTCGCCACAGTTGCTTCTCAGGATACTTATGTCATCGATTTACCCTATAATAATCTACATGGATCCCTACCAGAGAATATTGTCCTTTCTTTCCCTATGTTGATGATTTTTAAGCTGACATGAAACAAGTTGGGAGGACAATTTCCTACATCCTTCAAGCGTGCACCCTTGCTTTTACTAGACTCGAGTGACGACATCTTAATGGGAAATCTGCCACACACTTTCATGAGAAATCAGACCAATTTATGGTATTTCAATGTGTCTTACAATCACCTCGAAGGAGATATCCTCCTTTTTGATGCTCATATTCCATACCTTGGTTACTTGATCGCCAACAGCAACAATTTTATAGGTTCACGTCTCTCAAAATTCTCCAACTCTTCTCACTTGGAAATTATTGATGTTGGATACAATAGCTTTGTTGAAAATTTCTCTCACAATTTTCCCTATTTTCCTTTTATGACAATACTTTCCTTGAGAGATAATCATATTCAAGGTTACTTACCCAAAACATTTTGCCAAAATGAATATCTACATCCCTAGATCTCTCTAGAAACAAGTGGTTAGGAAAAAAATTACCATGTATTCACAATATTTCATATTGGAGATCAAGTAGATTTGAAAAGAAAATGCTAGTCACTATTTCCTACGAAGGGGAAGTATGTGTATTCTTCACTTCAAAGAATTTGGTTAATCCGTACGTAGGTACTCCTCTCTGGGAGATGACTCAACTTGATTTATCACTGAACATGATTAATGGCATCATTCCTCAAGAAATTGGAGGACTAAAGTGACTTCTAGTGCTGAACTTGTCTAATAATCACATCCAAGATTCTCTGCCAACAGCAATAGCAAGTATGGATACAATGGAAAGTTTAGATCTCTCACATAATGATTTAAGTGGTTCCATCCCCTTGGAAAGGGTTCAACTCTCATCTCTTTCAATTTTTAGCGTTGCCTTCAACAACTTGCATGGTCCAATCCCTAGTGGTAGATAGTTTGGAACTTTTTCAGAGAGTAGTTATGAAGGTAATCTAGGATTATGTGGAAAATCTCTCAAAAAGCTTGCTCTTTTGACAAAGAGAGAATGAAAAGGATGTCAAATGAGAGATAAAATAAGACAAAATGAAATGATTTTGATGATGATTTCTTTTTATTCACTTGTTACGGCTACATTTATTTTGGGTTTTTGGGGGGTTTCTCACCAGCCTCTTCTTGAATATGAGTTGGGGGAAAAAAAAATTCAAAATCATTGATGAATACCACAATATGTACCTTAGGGAGCATTGAAATTTTCATGCTCAAGATAATAGATTTGTATGGATATGAAGGTTTTTTAGGCAAACTGTTAATTTCTTTTGTAAGTATTTTTTAAAATGATTTTCAATGGTAATCTCTTATTGATTGTTGGGGTATTATCTTTGAATAAATTCTTTCCAGTTCCTTTAGACTTGGGAAACTACCATATCCAACAGTTATTGTAAAACACCTTTTATCTTTTTCTTAACTTCATACAGATCAGTAAGAAAAGAATATCGTAATCTGTTTTCAACTCATTCTTCTTTATTTGTCACTGTGAAGGCATTTATAAAAGGAGAAATACATAAAATATCGTTGAAAACCCTGCATCTCCAAATGAGCATGACACTATTGTATTAGACTAAAAAAACTAACGTATCAACTAGGATCAATACGTGGACCATCGGATGTTGTTTGATTGAACACAGATAAGAAGACTGTAAAGGTCAGATTAGGACAAATGAAAACTATCAGGTTTAATTTCAAGAAGTAGGTTTACAGATCAACTTGCGACTGGCTCCTAACAATTTATCAGAAACAGAAAACAGAAGTATTGCCGACTTCTCTACAGATGATCATCTTCAAGTTCCTAATTCCATTGAGATGGTTTTCTTACAAACTAGTATGGGTTGATTGTCAGAAAGAGGGTTATAATTCTATTGACATGCTGAGAGAAATTATACTCCTAAATTTTCGTTCGAAATGAGAGTTTGGCTGAAAGGAAAAGGGCAAGTTGGAGTGTCCCTGTATGGAGAGATGAGCTGGGCCAACACAATTAAATGATTGGAGGCAGAATTGTGTAAAATTGTTCCTTCAAAGAAAACTCATCTTTAATTTAAGGCGTAATATGTGGAATCAGTTTATATCTACTTTGCATGTAATAAAACATATAAATATATATCTGCCAGAAGGTAGGTGGGCGGGTGTGTATCTTCCTCGGGATTTATATCGTTTCCCCAGATAGTTATTTACTTTACGACAGACCAATGCAGCGGCCAAAGGGGTATCCCCATATGACGTCTTGACCTCATTTCTAGGCTTTTCAACTCTGCCTTGACCCTCTACCATCAGAATACCATTCTTGCATTTGGCTCCCGCCAGCAAGCTCCATCCACGCATAAACACCGAGTTATTCACAACTTTCCTGGGTTCCCCACATTGGTAAGATTCTTATTTATTATGCAGCTTCTTTTCCACGGTAAACTCATCAGAGGGCTCCGTACGAGAGCACTTGCGTCGAGCTGTTGTCCCGTCCATACCGGTCCTCCGGTCCGTTGATCCGCCAGTTCGCCTAATCTGAACCTCGATCCGCCGCTTACTCACGAGTTGTCGCTGATCCACAGATTGGTATATAACGCCTTGTGGGATGACAACGAACCCCAATGGAATATGTAAGGAATGAGGAGAGTTATCCCCAAGACAGGTTGGCTGTCTTTATTGCATTATTAATGTGTTACACCGAATCCGGCAACTAACCGTAAACTTATGATCGTCTCCCTTCTCCCTTTCTCCGTTTACTAGAAGGCACGTCGATTGCAACATCCATCGTCATCACCCTTTACGGGCGACGAGTGGCTTGTGGAACACCTATGCTCGCCGGCCGATTATTGTTAACCCAGATCGTTCGTGCGTTGACGTCGGATCGACTCCACACCATCAGTGAGGCCCATGGTCCCATGAGAGTAAGAGAGGTTCAACCGGAATAACTAATGGATACTGCTCCAGTGAAAGAACCAGAGGTGTAGATTAATTCGGGGAGAATTGAGGATGCCATGCGTCTATTCGTTCCCTTGAAGAAATCGTTATGAACTCTTGAGGGGCAGACAAGACAGGACGTAAACAAACCGGTACGAATCCAACCGAGAGAGACATAAGAAACCAAAATCATTAAAAACACTTAAACTCATTAAATAACGTCAAGACCATAATATTTGATCAAGAGGAACGCAATGGCATGCCCCAACCCATCTGTCTGCCTCACGTCGACTTCAGCCAGCGACTCAGCGCCGCCTCTTTATGAGATTAGCGGTTGATCGAGACCCGTACTGCACCTCCACAACAATCCACTCACGCTGTCGCAGCACTGATTCATGGATATAAAGCTCAGTATTCTGTTGCCCCTCCGAATCAACAAGCCTACAAAGAGGGAGCCTGCCGGTGACAGTTTGCGGAAAAAATATGATCTCTTCCCCTGCTGGTGGCGCTAGAACCTTACGGTATATTGTTCCGGGAAGACTGATCCTGGTTCTCGTCATCATAGCCTCGTCTGGTCGGGGGTGGGAAGTGATGTGTTGTCACGACGAGGAGAGGAAGGCTTTGCTTGAGATCAAGACGTCTATCAATTTCCCCAACAAAGGCTTGGCCTTACCCGATTGGGGCAACTCAACAACAGAAGTAGGAGAAGACTGCTGCCAATGGCCTGGCATAACCTGTGACTTCAACACCGGTCACGTGGTTGAGATCGATTTGTACAGCGAGAGGAGTTCTGCGAAGGAGACATGGAGCCCAAACCTCACCATGTTGGCGGAGTTAGGGCAGCTCAAGAAGTTGAATTTGGGGCTCAATAAAATGAACGGTGGCATTCCAGAGGGTAGGTAACTTCCTCCAATCGTGACAAATAACTGGTTTATTAACATCTTTTTCACTTGAACAGTGTTGAGATCAGTCTAGGTAGGTTGAAATATTTCACAACTTATCCTTCTCATCAATCATTTCATAAAGGGGTTTTCTCCTTTTGTCTTGTTCTTTTTTTTTATCGCAGTTATTTGCAACTTGAAGAACCTGAAGCTTCTAGACCTTTCCTTGAACATATTGAATGGTCCCATCCCATCGTGCTTGTGCAGCTTGAGGTCTCTGACAGAACTCGATTTATCTTATAATGAATTGCAAGGAGACATCCCTTCCTGTTTCGGCAGCTTTCAATCGTTGGCAATTCTCAATTTATTCAGCAACCAGTTCGAAGGAAACTACTCATCCTCGATGTGCAGCATTGAATCCTTGACAGAGCTCCACTTGTCTTATGACGCATGCCCTGGCAACATTCCCGCATGTCTCGGCAACTTGCAAAAGCTCAAATACCTACAACTTGGTAATAGGTTGAATGGGTCCATCCCTTCTTCGATGTTCCACAATCTGACGGAATTAACTACTCTACAAATAAACAGTGATCAATTGGAAGGCACTTTGAAGTTCTCAGTTTTTGCCAACCTTTCCAAACTCAAAGAAGTAGACATCTCCTCCGGACGAGGATTAGAAATCGACACCGAAGCCCCAATCTCTTGGCATCCATCTTTTCAGCTCTCAGATTTGTCTATACGTGATTGTGTTGTCAATAAGCGTAGTAATAAGAGGCTTCCCACATTTCTCTGGACTCAGAAAACACTAGAAACCTTGATCTTGATGGGCACGTCTATCACAGATACCCTGCCAATTGGTCTTTTCTGCAACTCCAGTTTATCCTCTCTGGATTTAAGGAGCAACAATATTTCTGGCTTATTTGTTCTGCCTTGCCACAATGCTTCCAAAAATGCTTTCGAAATCAACTTATCCGATAATCATCTATACGGACCGCTCCCTAAAAGCATCGGCCTTTTCTTTCCAAAGTTGAATATTTTTAGGATCGCCAGAAACGAGTTGGAAGGACCCATTCCTTCGTCCTTGACTGACAGAGAACTCAATTTATTAGATTTAAGTGACAACCATTTTTCAGGTAAGCTTCCCCTTGGTTTTACTAGAAACCAGACTATATTGTCTTATGTAAATGTGTCTTACAACCAACTCCAAGGGGAGCTTCTCCCAGCTGATGCTTATATGCCACTTTTACAAGTCTTGATTATCAAAAACAACAAATTCACTGGGTCACTTCTCCCAAAGTTGGCCAACTCTTCTCTTCTATTCATCATTGACGCTGGATACAATCATTTCATAGAAAATTTCTCACAGGCGCTACCTCTTCTACCTTATATGATTGTACTTTCCTTGCCAGAAAATCGTGTTCAGGGCTACATACCAAGAACTTTGTGTCAAATGCGATATCTACGATCGTTAGATCTTTCTGGAAACAACCTGTCGGGCGTAATTCCACCGTGTCTTCATAATATTTCGTCCTGGACGTCAAACATCCCACGAGACAGCCCAATATGGATAGACAGCGGCCCTGCGGATCCAACTGTGCTTCTCACTTCAAAGAATTTGGCCAGGCCTTTCAAAGCGGATATTCTTTACAGGATGACCTTACTTGATATATCATTGAACAAGATTCATGGTGTTATTCCAGGGGAAATTGGAAAGTTGAAGGGGCTTCGTTCATTGAACTTGTCAAATAATCAGATCCAAGGTTTTATACCCGTTTCAATCGCAGACATGAACATTTTGGAAAGTTTAGATCTGTCCCGCAACAGGCTAAGCGGTATCATTCCTGAGGGAATGGTTCACCTCAATTCCCTCGCAACTTTAAGCCTTGCTTTTAACAACTTGTCCGGTATTATCCCCAATCGTGGACAGTTCCCAACTTTTTCAAAGAGTAGTTTTGAAGGTAATCCAGGATTATGTGGAATACCAGTTGAAAAGAGTTGTTCTTCCAATAATGATGGGTCTAATGTGACCACAGACATCGGAAAGAATGAAGAAAACTCCAAATCACTGGAGGATATTTTATTTTATTCATTCTGTATAGTGACGTTTAATTTGGGTTTTTGGGGATTTCTTGCCGGCATTTTCTTCAATTTTGTTTGGAGGATGATGTATTTCAAAATCATTGATGAGTTGTGAGCCATGTTCCGAATCGACTTTTCAAAAATTCTATAATGTTCATTTGGAAATGGCGTTGAACGTTTATATGTGAACTGTCTAGTTTTCGTTTTGAAGTTGTTGACTGATTTTCGTCATGCCGATCCCTGTTGTGGACTCGAGGAAATGTGGTTTGAAAAAGTTTGAGTTTAATTCATGCTGCACGAAAGTTGATTTGAGTTCTCCAAGTATCCGGGGAATAACTTCTAAGAAAATAAGTATCGTACCATTTGACGAATAACCTATTTTCACCAAACACTAATTGAAGATTAACTTATTGCCTTTAAGACCCACATCTGATAGATGAATTTCTTACAACAAGTTGTTGATACTTTTTCTTGTATGAATATTTATGAAGAGAGGAATAAATTAAGGATCATTAAGCTACTAATGCAGATTGTCTTGCATAAGAAAAACACAATAGCATCTGATTAGGGCAATTTTATCAACTAGGAGCAAGACCGTCAATCTACCCCGGGGCCACTGTTTAACTAGAGACAGTCTATCGCAGATGTATTCTATGTAATCTGATTTCACAAAGTATGTTGGGGATTAATTTGTTGCTAGCTCACTAGAAGATGATTCGTACGAAATAATCCTAGGCAGAATTATCATAAGTTATGCTAAATCTATTCGAACCTCGCCCACTGAGTCAAGAAAGCGTAATAAAACAAGAAAAATACTTATCCTCTTAAGTTTTCTTCCCGAAAGGGACTTGGGCGGACGACACGAATGGCTTGCCAGAGGGTTCTACGTCTTGTACGTCTGACCACAACCCGACAGTGCAAGACCTCATTACGGCTATAAGTTCATGAAGAATCTCCGTCGGAGATATAACTACTGCGTCGGGTTCACAGGGAAACGAGTTTTGGGTTCTGGAGATCATATTGCAAAGCAATTACGCTTTATATTTCATTTTGTGAACCATATTTATATGTTATCCTGGGTTAACCCTGTGTCTTTCTGACGGCCCTTCATTGCAATGGCCCGAAGAGGTATCCTCAATGATGTCTCCGACCGGCCTTATAACCAGTCGACTCACAGTCTCGGTGGAATTATCTTTTGGTCTCTGTGGGGCGAAGACCAGCCATCGGGCTGCCATGTCGATACCCAGCAGGGAACAAAAACCCCTGAAACGATGACAGCCAAAAGCTGATGGAGGTCATTGACATTGACATGTAATCCGCAGGAGTGCGAAAAAGAATAGAAAGGGTGCATTCTTTGATTATGTTGATTATTACGATGACTCTCTGGATCGGCCGTCAGTTAGGACAAGAAGGACCTCGCCAAGTGTTTGTGCTGCCTTAGTGTTGAATGTTCTCCTTCGACACCGCCCCTTCATTGACCTCGAGAGGCAGGAAAAGAGGGCCCATTGCAGTGGCTTCACGAGGGGTTGTCTTTGTGTCCTACGAAGGGATAGGGTGCCGGGGGAAAGAGAGGGGACTCTCCACATCGAGATCTTCCACCCCCTGTAACTCGACGTCATGCCCTCCCCAATCCCTTTGACTCAAGAATTTGTACTCCCTGAGGGAGCTAGCTCTAGGGCGGTATACTGCCGTCCTTGTGCAGCTCTCTCTCTCTCTCCCTCTCTCTCTCTCTCTCTCTCTCATCTCGATCGAATGTAGAGCAGTCTGAAAGAAAGATCCCCTACGTCTCCATTTCCGAAAGGTTGGCGAACTGCAAGAGCACTAGAGTTGAGTCTAGTCGATCATCTCTTAGGCCCAAGAAGAGTGATCATTAAGGCCGACGCGGATGGAAAGGGATGCTCGCTAAGAAAACCCACTTGAAGTAGGATACTCATTTATTTAATAACTCAGAAAATATCTTCTACCGCGAGGTTGTGATCAGCCGAACATACGAAGGTGGCTATTCTATAATCCCTCACACGACTCTTGCGAGAAAATATATTAGATGGACAGATGAAGTGGAGAAAGTGAAGATATACCACAGCCTAGAGATCCATTGGATTATGGGGTTGACCGTTGACCTACCTGTGCTGACGGTTCACTGGGACCGTTGACTAGACTGTTGACCACTGGCCGGGTGACCAGGACTTACGGGGGGTGGGTCGGACCCAACGAGAGGGACCGCCGCAGACTAGATGGTCAGGCATGGTTTGAACCGGTAGGACGAACCGGTGCAGACCGGTTGGTTCGGGTCGGTTCGGACCGGCGAACCAAGTTGTTGAAGCCAGGCGACCGTTCAAGCTGGGCCCAGCGGAAATAGGCCAATCGGGCCGGGAACGTCAGGGCCCACAAACCAGAGGGGTTAAGTCCTAATCGAAGAGAATGGGGCCGGGAGCGGGGGCGGCGAAGGCGTAACAGGCGAAGGGCGGAGACAGGGATGAAGGCGGCGGAGACTACAATGGGGGCAGGCGACGGCAGCGGGAATAGGGAAGGTGCCGGCGGAGGTGGCACTCGCGGAGGGCAGAGGCAGGGATGGAGGCAACGGCGGTGGCAGACGGCGATGGTGGTCGACGGCGGAGGCGACGGAGCAAACGGCAGCAGCGGGCGAGAAGCCATTGGTCCAATTAGAAGTATGACAGGAAATATGACCCAATTGGCTGCTAAAGAAGAAATGGAATATAGAAATTCCGCATAAATAGTAAAAAATTAAAAATTCAATATACAAAAAAGGGACCATTCAATAAATGAGCACAAAACATTAATGTAGAAACATTGGCGAAGAAATATTTGAGAAAAAATATTGACCTTGACAAATTGGATCTCTATTAACAATATTTAGCATTTAGGCTGGAAGAAGATCCTCAAAATTTATACATGGCTCAGTGGAACTGAGTAAAATATCTCAAGTAAAGTTTTTGGATCTACAATAGTTTTCGAGTTAGTTTAAACTATTATGAAAATCAATTTAAATGCTTCAAAACAAGAAGTTTAAATCCAAACAGTTATCTCCTCTCTTATAGAACTCTAACTCCTAACTTTGGAGCCTTCCCTCTGCTTGAGTGGTAATCAATGTTGTAAGAATGATGTAGGTTGAATGAGTAGCCAGATGGTTACCGAATCTTAGCCTCAGATTCCACGCCCTGTGTTCATCATCTGAACGAAATAGATCGTGTCTCGCATTAGAACTGAACGCATTATATGGGTAAACTATTGAATCATGAGAAGGTTATGAATCAGATTGTCAGATCAATTTCATTCGGAAAGAAATTAGACACCAAAAATCATTTTCAAATTGAATGGTACACATAATTGGTTTTGCCATAATATGAACAATGGTTGACGCTTTATCAAGTTATGAACATGTACTCCCCAACATAAAGTCTTTCATATATAAATAGATAGGGGATGGTCGAGTTTACCTACCATAGATTACTCCCATACCGCTGTCAAAGGGTATTTTGGTTCTAGTTTCCTTCACAAACCGAAATATTTGTAATATCGTGTCCATTCAAACTTCCGACCTTCCTAGCCTCCACGTTTCAGAAAAAGGTCCTTCAACAATGTAGGCACGCCTTTTTCGAAAATATAACCTTGAACAATCTGTTGGCGACCCAAGATCATTGACGACCTCAGCAATAGGTAAGGAAGGTAGAGAATATACCGGCCCAAGATCTTTGCCGACCTCAGCAACCTTGAACAACCTTTTCGCCGTTCTAGGAAAGGGAAGAAGTTATCGTCCAGCCATGTTGGCGGGTATTAGAATGAATGTGAAGAAGAGGAAGAAGAGATATTGAAGGCGATGCCAAGCTCGAGTCCTCAAGATAGATTGATTTCACTTCAATTTATTATTTGTTGTTGCAGTCATTTTCTTTATGCGTGGTGTATCTGGCCAGTACCCCAGACCATACCTCCCTTTACAGAAAGGTGACGTCCACAGCAACACCCTTCGTCGAGTCCCACACGATTTTGTGAGATTGAATCTAGCAAGGAAGAACGGAACACAGGATGATAAAATTCAAGGCCACCTTAGCATGTACGTATGTCAGAAGCCGCTGGGCCTAGGGCAGGGTTGTGGTAGCCCGACCGCCGCATCCACACTACTCATTGCTCTACCAGGATAGGCCGATGCCGGCGCAAAGTTGGGTTGGGGAGGAAACAGAGGAGAACGTGAGGGTGGAGACAGTGGAAGGAGTGAAGTAGGGATGATGAGTTGAAAATACGGATAGATAGGAGGAAGTGGAGGAGGGATTTATCTCCTGGCACATGTCGAGAAAATTATTTATTTAGACATGAGTTAATGGTCCGGGTGTTGACGACGAGTGGAAAGTGAAACCCAGTGGCCAAACCTTATGAGGGTCTAGAAGGATTTCGTGGGGGGAAAAACGTAGATGTCGATGGGGCCAACATAACTATTTTTCGGGGATCTGTTTCCTTTCATAAATCAGACCAGAGATGTTGGGCTCAAGGCCTTTTCTAATTTATCTTCATTCTTTGGTAGTATGACCCTCCCCAGCTTTGACCATAGAACATGCATTTTCCCACTTCTTGTCTCTCTATTTCGACTTTGGACTCTGAAAATCCCCAACACAGCAGGGTGCTGCCTTTTCATTCTTCATGGTTGACAGATAAATTAGCCCCGCTTCCAACTTCCATTTTCTGGGAGTTGAAACTTCACTGACAAAACGAAGGTTGGGAGGCCTAATGGCATGAACCAACGAGATCTCTCTCCAGTGAAAATCTACATGTAACGAAGGGATTATTGTAACATAAAATAATAATAACAACATGATCACAATTATAAATCTGAGGTGTACGAGACACGATCAATTTCGTTCAGATGATGAATCCACGACATTGGGTATGTTCTGAAGACAAGAAAGATGAAAAGTAAGCTAATGATACTTGAACGAAACAGTACGAGAGATATTAGATGAGGATGGTAGCCGAGATGTGCCTCATCACCCTCCTCAAAAGTTTGTCCTTCTCCACTGGATTTTATAAATTTTATAATCCTAATGGGCTGGCGATCTACTATCCACATTCACCTCCTCTTCCGCTATCTGATCGACCTGTCGT